AAAGTAAAACAGTGTTTGTTGTTTGGGTCAATTGTAATTACATGAAATGGAATGTGACGAAGAGACCACCGCAGGGGAAATAACGTTATTAACTGACGGATAATGCGACCCGTGCGATGCAGTAAGCACTTTGTAGGAAACTGCGGAGTAGTAAAGAATGACATTTTTTATTCACAAACATTCCATTTTCAAGACACCACAGAGGGAGAAGAAAATGAAACTAATTTATTTTTCACTTCATCAGTGTAACTTCAGCTAAACTGAAAAATTCTTGTTAGTCTAGTCAATATATACAAAGCTAATGGAAAAACGATGACAGCCTTGGGCTTACAAGCTAAAACTTCCAAATACCCGGTGAATGAGTTAAGACTCCCCCCTTGGGCTTCGCGTGCAACCAAAGCAGGACAGAAAGTCTTCTTGTTTGGATATAGAAAAGATAAAAAATGGTTCCTCCTTTTTAAAATAATTAAAACTAAATCTCTAAATAGCACAGGAAATACAATGTTCTGAATTTTAAAACAAATCCCCCCAGAATTGCTCTGTATGTGTCATAGTAAATCACCAAACTCATTTCAAGATAGAAATCGAAATAAAAATACTTCAAGGGATTAAGGTAACATTTCTGTGTGAATGAAGGTTTTATGAAAAGGGCTTACTAATAAAAAAAATAGATAGTATTTGTTAAAATGATTATAATCAAGGTTCACGTTTTGGCAGATAAAAGCACAGTTGTGGTAGTTTAAGAGAAAGTTAATTTTCAGTTCATCAAAAAAACTAAAAACTAGCCAGCCCGACTCCCTGCTGATCAGTTAATTGATTGCCTGAATGTTATTTCTGACCATTTAGTCTTTTTCTTTTTAACAGAAAAAGATGTGTGTGCTTGGGAAGTTCGTTATGCTGGATTCTTCCCACGGTATCCCACACAATGAAGGTACACCAAAGTAAGTCTTTTTCCTTTCAAAATTGGACTGTGGGGAATGAATCATTCGATTGAAAGCTACTTTTCGGATAAAGAATCCTGTCAAATGTTGAATTCAGATGGCTATTAAAATACAGGCTATGTTTGTACTGCTTTCGTGAACCAAAATGCTGGTATTGGCCACAGAATGAGCATTCTGCCCACTTCTCAACCCCACCACCACACGCACAGAGAAAAATATACCGCATGGACGCAACGCAATTCAATGAACCGGGGATGCAATAAAACAGGAGAAAACAAGCAGATCCAAAAATCATATTACAAAGTCATTATGAGCTGTAATGAAATACTCAGAGCAAAATGAGGTTATAAATAATCCACATTGTTATCACTTTGGGTACTGAGCAAACAACAGTACAAACATTATACGGTGATTATAAAGGAGAGAATTTGCCCCCATGAATGTATCCTATATATATGCGTCTCTCCAGAGTTACAATACCTCTAATGTTAACAAAACAGTCAAGTTTTATTTATCAAAGTGCAGAAAGTTAACCCGGGTGGTGGGCAAATGAAGGCATCTATCGTCACACAAATGTGATTGTAACACACACAATGCAACTTTATAAACCATAATGGCCTGTGTAGAAATAATGTCGTAAAGCAAATCCTATAGTGGGTAAAGCTTTAATTTAGTTACAAGTGGTGCAATCGGGTGTTAGCTGACGGCTTTATATTGGGCGCATCATCGTGCATTCCTGCGATGAATGAGCTTCTGTTGCGACGGTGCATAATAAAGCAATCTGCAGCAGACATTTCTCTTTCAGTTGGCATGTGAAATCATGTTTTATCAAAACCATCCGTGGTTGGCTCAATTATTTCCAGCTCAGTGTTCATTTATTTGTCCTAACTGTGGGTCAGGGAGGGGAGGCAGCGTAGGAGAGCTGGTTAAATGAAAGGAGGATATTTTCCGTCCTACGTTCGGACTGCTTCCCATCCCGTTTGCCTCATTGGGCCCAGTATAGGTGCTGCAGGAGACTGTCAAGATGAGAATGCCACAAATGGCCTGAAACTAATGTTGGCCTCCTTCACCCTGAAAATGTACAGCACACTCCTCTGACTCTCTATTTTGTATATTCAGCCTTCTCTTTTTCACTCCCCTTCTTTCAGAGCTACGTGGTTTTAAAAATAAAAGGAGAAAAAAACGGAGTCATGGTTCTTGCCCTCTACCTTTGTTCGCATTTAACTCAATCTGTTTTTCCACTTCTCCTTTTCCAACACACATCTATCTTATCAAATTGTTTGCCAGCACAAGCTCGGATGCATTTTCCATTTGAGCCCAAAGGTAAATCAATGCCATCAAAGCTGCAGCAGCTGTGGTTCTTCATGACAGAGCAGAATGGCTGAGGCCTTTCTTTTCTTGTACGTCACTGCATAGTCCTGTAAGGGGCGGGTGACCTCCCTAAGGATAGATATACAAATGAACTAATAAAATAGACAAATTTGTGGACTATTAATACCAATGCATAAGAGTTTTGGTATATGTGGCTGATCTATCATCTTAACTGCAATTAAGCTCATATAGCAACACCACCAAACCAAAGTAAAGACCACCACACGCCTATTTTGGCATTTCATTTATGGCTCCAAATGTGGAAACACAACTGAAGAAAGCCCACAGAGTTTCCTGGGCAGGAGACCCGGACTGTCCTGAAACCTGTGTGCAAACTTTACAGTTTCCATCCCTGCCCCTTCCTGAGAGGCTTGCAAATGCAGAGACGGGGCGGGCATGGAAAAAACCTGCAGAGGAAACAGAATCAAATCCCCCCCCCGTGATGCATTACTTTCAGCTATGGCTGACAGCTAACGCACACTGTGTTTGTACACGGCGTAGGCAATCTGATGTAGCCGAGCCCAAAGAAGACAAGGCCACACACACAAAAAGGGGAAGCCCCCTTGGGTTTAATCCAAGCATCCAACCGCCGGACATTAAATGGTGGAAATAAGTAGGTCCATTTCCTCAGCAGGACAGGACAATTTGGCTCCTCCCGTGACACTCCGCGACCCCACTTTGTGTGTCTGTGAGGCTGAGCGTCTCCGTGCTTTGGTGGGAAAATCTACCCTCTCGCCGACACATTGGTGAAAGGCGATTTCCGTAATCCCAGAATGTAAGCCCCTACTGTACAAATGGGCGTGAGGGATTTTGTGTATATGTGTGTGTGTGTGTGTGTGTCTGAGTGAGAGAACATTTATTTGTGTGTGTCAGAAATGCCAGCGAAGAGCCGCACGTCTGTGTGGGTGACTGATAAGAGGCAGTGTGTGTAGAGATTAGAGTGGTAGCGAAGAGCTCTAAGGGGGCGACACCTTCATGAAAACTTGTCATAGATTTTCCTCATCTCTACTATTCTTCTTCCGCCACGAGTTGCAACGGAGAGGAAGTGGTTAAAAAAATGTGTTTGTCAGAAAAACACAATAAATACAAATGAAACTATGACTGGTATTATTGAAAATAAAACCTGATCAGGGTACGCTTCTCTCATGCCATACTGATAGTTATTCTAAATCCAACTCAGTGTATCAAAAGTCTAAACGGAAAATGTGTTGAGCGCTTAAAAAACATTTTGAATTCCCTGCATGCTTTCCTTGTGATAGCTTCATTAAAAAATCATACGGAATGTCTACTTTGAATCCAAAATAAAACAGTAAGATTTCCTTGAAATCGCTTGATACATTTTGATGACGAGCCTTATTGAAAGCATGAATAACCATGTATAATATCCTCTGTCAGCATTAGGATAGGCAGACGGATCAATATGATGACAGTTATGTAGAGGTAATCGTGGTTATTAATTGCAATCAGTTATGAATGCTCTGAATTGGCTGAACACTTTAGGCTGAACAGGTGAAACATAAAGAAACCTTTGAACTATGTTCGTAGTCAGTTGGTCACTTAATTTTTCATGAAAATGAATGATTAATTAATTAATGATAAAAGGAACCAGTTAATAATAATAATAAAATGGGCCCTAAGCCCTCCCAGACCCTGAATCAGCGGAAAAAGGAATAAACAGGTATTGTAAATAAATGGATGGTCTGTGTGTTGCAGGCTATCCATTTTTTGAAGTGCCTGCTTTTAAAAGCATTTCCTCTCATGAAATCTATCTAGCTTAAAAAGTGTTTGTCTCCTAACAATATCAGTGTCAATCATCATCTTCCCTAAGTGCGGGATATTTTCACTCTTTTTCCGAGAGGTATTGCAGCCGCTGCTGCAAAGATTGGATCATGCTCTGTTTTCAATACTAGCAACCAGTAACACATAGATTAATATCGTGAAGGCAAGAAACGGAAAATGAGCTTAACTTGAAATCTTTGATGTGTTTTTAATTGAGACACGAAAGCAGATGGATGTCCTAGAGTTTGTGTTTAGAGCTGCAGATTGTGTTGGTTTCACGAATTGCTAAAATAAATCTTTGTTTTGTTGTGCAATTGTAAATGCAACTTCCTCCATATTAAGGCAATATCCTTTTTTTTGCAGACTTTTTCATTTATCGTCGTGACAAAGCAAAGCATTTTCTGAAAGAATATATACACTGGACTTATTCAACAAACAACCTTTTCAAAGGCGAAAACCTTCGCCTACCGAAACCTTGGTACAGTCCACATTTAACCAACATCCCTCAGGTATGCTAACAGTCTCACCTTTCATAATGGACTCTTCCTACAGGAGTGAGGATAAAGAGTGTACTGTAATCTTATTTTTTTTACTCTGCATATGTTTATGCTGCCCAGGGCCCAGAGGACAAATCACCTGACATCGGGCTTAAATCCCAAACCAGTAGTTGGGGTTCTGGGAGGGTATGAAAGAAAATACAAGAATGTTGAGCCTCTCATGCTCACAGATGAAACAGCATATGTTTTCCTGCCTCTCACTCTTCCTTAGCCTGAACAAGAACTTTAAGTACAAGCACTCCAACCCTTTGCGTCTCAGTGTCTTTAGTCTGTGAGTACGAGTTGGGTGAAAGTTGAAAGTTTTTGACAAAGTCACATTATGGAAATATTGATGGTGTTTGCTGTCACTCACTCTGACAAGCATGTGGGGAAAGGGTCCTCTGGAGTTTTCAGGCACATTGATGGGTGGAATGACCCAGTCTCTCTTCTGTCGCCTCAGCGAATTGGCAGAGGAGCCTCTCTGATGTTTTCGAGAAAACCTGATAACCCTGGGTTGGGAGTCCCACACTCTTGACAGCATTTCTTCAAAGCCGAACTGCAAAAAGAAAAAAAAAACACACATTTCATATCAGGCCACATCTTGATCTAAATGACATTAACACCATCTTCAATGGCCTGGAGGGTAAATCAGATGTATAGCTTTGCGGTGGTGGTAAAATACTGGGTATCATGCTGACAATGAAGCCAATAAACATTTTTTAGGTGAGTGACAGAGGCAAACAGAAGATATAAACATCTCCAGGTAAGCTGATGCATCATTTGGCAGGACACCTGAGCCCGCCACAGGCTTTTGGGCTTCTGAATGAGAGAGTGAGACTTCCCTCAGGCTACGTTGCACATACAGGGGCTGTGATCTGTTTGCATCCCTGCGCAAAATTTTTCTCTAACCCATAATGTCACGTCTCTGTCTTCTCCAGGTCGTGGTTAGGGGTTAGCCAGGGTTGTCAAAGTTCTCGTTTGTTTCGAGCAGAAAAAGTTTGAAGTATTTTTTTTAACGAGATCTTGCGGTAGAGTCCTCGCTGCAGAAAATCTGGGCTCGCTTTATGGATGCTCATCCTCTTTTTATAGCTTTGAAGACGGTACGAGGCTTTAGTATGCTGGGCAGCTCTTATGTAGGAATGTACAGATGCTTAAAGAATCCCCCTGCCCCCCCCCCCCCCCCCCCCCCCCCCCCCCCCCCCCCCC